TCTCTCTCTCTCTCTCTCTCTCTCTCTCTCTCTCTCTTCTCTCTTCTTTCTCTCTTCTCTCTCTCAGTCTGTGCACTCTTTGTCCTTTTTCCATATCCCTTCGTCCATAGCCTGACCCCGTGAGCTCACATTGACAATAGTTGTATTTGAGTTCAGAAGTAATTAGTGCACCAGCACTCGAAGAGCCAACTGTGTGATCAGTAGTTGTATTTGAGTTCAGAAGTAATAAATGCATCCGCACTTCGTGAGCCAGCTGTGTGATCAGCAACTGTTATATTCAGAGATAATCAGTGGACCAGCACTTGGCAAGCCAGTTGTGTGTTTAGCAGCTGTTGTATTCAAAGGTAATTAATAATTAGTGTTCCCTCACTCGGCGAGCCAACTGTATTTGCTTTCTCCCACTTTGCTTCCTCCCTCTCTTTCTCATCAGCTAGTTCACTACAGGATCCTCTTTTTTTTTCGCTCTCTCTTACTTATTGTCTTTCTCAATGAGTGCATTCCCTCTCTCTCACTGCGCACACTCTCTTTCTATCTGTGCAGTCTCTCACTCTCTCACTCACTGCACAGTCACTCTCTCTCTCACCCACAGTCTCTCGCTCCCGCTGTGCAGTCCCCTTCTCTCTCACTCTTCCTTTCACACGCCAGTAACCGCCTGAGCGCCGACTCGTCTCCCTCGTGCTTGCCTCCTACTCTGCAACTCCTTGACGTCGGGCACACCTCCCATGCAATCCCTCAGTCCTCTCTCCTCATCCCCCGTGCATCATTCTGCCCCTCGATGCTTCCGCCCTGAGCCAGGTATTGCGGGTACGCCTTGCACACAGTWCCCCCGTGGTTGCTTRCGCTTYAACRTGTYGACCTGCCTGCATCCCACTGYGCTGGGCGCCAGGTACACCTTGCATACCGTCCCCGATCTCTCCTCTGTTCCCCCCTATATTCATTCCACATTTGCTTGTACTGYCGAGACYGTCGGTACCAGGCCCAGCACAGGTTCATTACGGGTGGTACGTGARCACCGTCCTYGGGTCAACAACTGGGCGTYGTGGTACCAAACCGGGTATAGATGGCCGCAGTGATGGTGCCGAGCCTGAGTTAATTACCTGTGATAGCACCGAACCTGGAATAACCTGCCGTCCAGGTTCCGGGCCTGAGACAGACCACCGCGGCAGTCTCCAGACTTGAAAATAAATCGTCCCGAAGCCGCAGATCCTGAAATAAGCCGTCGTGGCGGCGGCGTACCTGAAATAAGTCGCCACAGTGTCCCCAATAAATTGTCTCAATGGCACCGAACCTGACACATGCCACCGTGAGGGTGCCGAATCCGGATAATAGTCTACCGCAGCGGTGCCGGAGCTGAAAAAAAATCACCGAGCCTGAAAATAAATTACCACTAGGATCCCGAACCTGAAATACATCGTCATAGTGGCTCCAGACCTGAAGGTAAATCACCAAAGAGGTCCCGAACCTGAAATAGATCGTCACAGCGCTCCCGGACCTGAGAATAAATCACCACAGAGGTCCCGAACCTGAAATAGATCGTCACAGTGCTTTCGGACCTGAGAATAAATCACCACAGAGGTCCCGAACCTGAAATAGATCGTTACAATGCTTTCGGACCTGAGAATAAATCACCACAGAGGTCCCGAACCTGAAATAGATCGCCGTGAGGGCGTCGAACCTGAAACGAAACAACACGATGCCACCAATCCTGATCAAACCCGAAATCCAATACCGGGCTGCTGTGCCACGCGGACGCTGAACCCGTACAACCATGCCATGATAATTTCGTACCTGTCCCGAACCTGATATAGGACACCGCAACGTCTCCGGACCTGAAAACAAACTGCTGCCAAGGTCCCAAACCTGGAATAACTGTCATAGTGGCCCCGGTCCTGAGAATAAATCACCGCAGTTGTCCCAAACCTGAAAATAAGTCACCGTAGTGAAATAGGTGTCACCAAGCCCATACCGTACCTGAAGCACGTCAGACACCGTAGGACGTAGCCACTCAGTAACAAGCCTCATATCCGTACCGAACCAAACACCATGGTCGACCCAAGGTAGCACCTGCCCATGCGTCTCCCGCTCTCAGAACGTCCCAACAACGGTAGTGTTAGTAATCAAGCAAACCAGCGARAGTGACRCAGGGAACCTCGGTCATCGGCAGTATTGAACASTGTTAAAATCCGGGGAAAATGTTCAATCCGGGGTCAGAGCTAACGGCGGGTAATCGAGGCGAAATTAGGCCAAMCTYCTAATAATCATGGGTTCCCGYCCCTTTCATTATTTTTCATCATTCTTCCCTTCCCTTAATTCTATTGTTGGAAATAGTAAATTAGCCGTAAGATCCCCAAAATAAAATTCCGAGAAAGTTTAAATAAATGGCCGAATTCCTTTTGTTTCTTTTCTCTTCTACAATTTT